CCCCGCCCCAGCGACCCCCAGGCACTCCCCGCGGCTCTGATTTCCCTTGTGACCCCGACACGGTGGGGGGGAAAGAGGGAAAGCAAGGGGGCACGGCACAGACTCACGTCCCACGGCTGCACCTAGCAGGGGGATCTCTGCCGACTGGGGTCTGCGGCTTCTCTGCTTTGGCTGAAGGGTGGCCCTTGTGTTTCCTCTTGTAAATCACAGCTGGGGTGTGTGTGTGTGTGTGTGTGTGAGCGAGCGAGCTGTGTGGCTTTTTATGGTTGCGTCCAGTAAGACAGGCACCCTGAAAAAGAGATTGTATGTCTGGCAAATTACGGCTTTCCACATTTCTGGCCCTTGACCACTCTTCTGCTGACCTGAGTGCACGTTTCGTGGGAGATGCGTGCCTTCTAGTTTGGGTCTTTTTGGTTGTTTTCACGCACCACATGTAGCTGTGGCCAGACCTCTCCCAGAACATTTCGGTGAACGCCTTGCTGATCGGTCGGTCTCCGGTGCCTTTGGGATCCTCGCTTCTGGCCGCCAACGCTTAGGGCCTCAAGCAACCTGTGCTTGGCGATGCTTCGTTTTTGAGAGTTACAGGATTCGAGGACGAGGACTTGCCAGATGAGATGGCGGGGTGGGGCGTGCATCGCACCTGGCAGGCGATTTAGCAGCTCCCTGGTACCTTTGGTGGCAGCCGCATGGGTAGGATGGTCCCTTCTGCGCATTAAGGAGGCTCCCGCCTGAACTTGCTGGGAGCTGGGCAGCTGAAAAGCGAGGGGCGCAGATGCAAGATGTGCGTCCAGTTTTGTTCAGCTCCTGCAATCCCTCTTATTTCTGCTGTGCACCAGAAAAATGGGGTGTTCTGCTTCTTTTTTACCTTAGTAGCAATACCCACCTAGTACCAGTGCAGGGGTGAGATGTTCGATGCCCACTCCGGATGGCCGGTATCACTGGGGACAATGTCAGGCAGCCCACGCCTGGTGGGAAGGCGCTTTTCGCAGTGGCCCAGAATCTCCCAAGTTGTCCGGAAATGCTCGATGTTCCCGGAGAGCACTCTGCCCTTCCGTTGGTCTTGCTTGGGTGGGAGGGACAGTCACGGTCCCTTCGCATCAGCTCTCCCCGTTCCTCTTCTCTGGCCTGGCACCATTTCTGAGTTTAAGGTCATGTTGTATTTCCTGGGTGGGGGATAAGGAGTTGTGGCCCAACAGGACGGTGGCCTAGATGGGGGGCTTGGTTCCTCTCCTTCCGTTTAAAACGGCCCCAAACCTCAACCCACCAGATCTTCCTTCGAAGCCGGGGGACCCACCACCAGCTGCATCCTCCTTGGCTTCCCCGGACCATTTCAATGGGGGGTCTTTGAGCCAGACCGAGCCTTCTTTTCCACTACTGGCCCTCTTTCTGTTTTCTTTCTGGTGTTGCTCCTTTGTGGGCAGCGTTTCAAAGACACAAAGACGCTCTGGCTGCTGCTGAGCTTGGATTCCAGCAAAACAGCCCCATCACCCACCCACCCTTCCTTCCTTCCTTCCTTCCTTCCTTCCTTCCTTCCTTCCTTCCTTCCT